AGAACAGGCCAAGAGAAGATGCATGACTTAGTTGGTGAGCCAGTGAGCCACCTGAGAGCAGCACGACATGTTTGAAACATGTGTCTGGGTTTCTCTTCTCCCTAAACGCCCGACCTTTGTTGACTTTCGAGTAGCATGGCTGCTGCTGAATAATAACAAAGAACAAACTTGCAAATCTTAAAGTGCAAGGATAGGCTTACAGGAGAGGGCTGGGATTCACAGGCTGTTTTCCTGATTTTCCCTTTATCTCTTGTGATGCCAATAAAGATGTACTTGTGAGAAGAGCTTAGAGTTTTGAGCCTTTTCTGATGATACTTTGACTTGTAACTTTCCAACTTGGAAAACTTTCTTCCTCAGGTCAGATGTGGAGAAAATCGGAATAAATTTCCCCTATTTCACTGCAATGCTGAGAGAAAACTACTACCCTCTGAAGGGCACAGAGAAAATTAAACCAGTGCAGCCCCTTAGAAGTAAAGGACAGTGAACAGACCGAAGTGGCCTGCTGCTAGTCCCATAGTTTTTGGAAGCATTATGTTTTATATTAAGTAATGCAAAGTCTGCTTTCCACTTAGCAATATGCCTAAGCTTGTTTTAATAGAAAAGATATCTATCTATCTATCTATCTATCTATCTATCTATCTATCTATCTATTTGCTTGCCAAATTGTCTAAGGAAAACAATGTTTCTGGAGTATGTTTATGCTATGACTTCTGGTATCCCTGGGGTACACCACTCTATATTGTTAGAAATATTCATACCTTAGTTAGAAAAGTACAGAGTTAGACATTATTGGAAAGTAACAGTATTGTCTTTCTTCATATGCCAGGTTGTTTCAATCACACACAAGTTAAAAATTTCAAATTAAATTGATTCTATCAAATTGATTGTCTCAGTAATTATTTGGCTAAACTTAAGCTCAAATCACAGATGAATAACCGGTATTGAGGCTAATTATTACTTTGTCATATGGATGAGAGAGAAAACAGACTAAATGCTATTGCAATATGTAGAAAAATCTAGCATATGATATATTATTGTCAAAGCAGCCTTAAAACTTTTTTTTGGAACTAGGAGACAAATAGATAAATTAAAAAACACACAAACATTAAGTGACTGGATATTTACAAAGGTGAGATGTGACTAAGATATGTTTGAATGAACTGATGATCTAAGAGTTGCACTAAAATTGAGGCTCTGCCTTTCCCTCCCACATTTCTTCTCATTTGTTCTCTTTGTCATTAAAATCACATAGGAAGGTGGTTTTACTACTTTTTATGTGTATAGAACTCCTAAATTTGTATAATCAGTTACTACCTTTCTCCTGAGCCCCAGAATAGCATATTCCACTAAAATATCTTTAAGATATTTAAGAAGTATCTTTAACTTAACATGGCTAAAGTAGAACTCTCCTCCCCATTTCAGTAAGTGGCACCACAAACTACCAGTGACCAAAACTTCAAAGAAGATATTGTTTTTGATTTTTTCCTTTTCCTCCTTATCCTACCCCATATTCAAACCATCAACAACATACTTAGCTTTTTTGATAATACATGGAAAGACACTGTCTATGTCCCTCTATCTCACTGCTATTACTTGGGTCTAAGACACCCTTATTTCTTTCCTGAGCTTGGCTTTCACTTTTGGCTGCTCAACCCCTCCCATTCTCCCAGCAGCCAGAGTGAATTTTTGAGAGTGTACATCAAGTTGTGTTGCATGCTTGCTCAAAGCTCTCCACTGGTGTCCATTACAGTTGGGTATAATACTTTCCCTGTGCACAAAGCAATGGGAAATCAGTTGCAAGCCTCTCTCTCTAATCTCCCCTTCCCACCCTGTCCCCCTGTTTATTGTGCTCTGGCCCAGTAGCTTCATTTCTGTTTCTGAGAATCTGGTTTCCATTCTGGGGACTTTGCTTTTACTGCTTGCTTTGCCTAGACTGGCTACTTCTGGATCTTTCCATGGCCAACTCCCTTCCATCATTCAGGATTCAGCTCAAATGTCACTTCCTCAGTGAGTCCTTTCCTGACAAATCTATTTAAAGCCATCCCCTCCCCTTTGTCACTCTTACAGTGTTACCCAGTTTTAGTTTTATTCTCTTAGTAGTAATAAACTTTTAATATTGTTCTGTATTCATGTATTTGGAGACTACAGTTTAAGCTTTGTTGTTCGTTATTGTATTAATATCTCTAGCACCTGGCTCAGTGAATATCAAGCATTTCCAAATGACCGGACAATTTTTCCTTAACCTCATTTGAGTCTTATAACAACCTTCTGGGTGGACACTGTTATCGCCTCTTTCTAGTGGTTGGCATCTTAATTTTGGTGTTTTGGGATTTTTTTTTTTGGTAAGTCCATAACTCATATTTCTAGAAAGAATGCATAGTTCTCATTTCACAGGTGAAGAAATCTCAGGGTTCAGAGAAGCCAAGTTACCTTTCCCAATGTTATACATTATGTAAATGGCACAGTTGCATCTAAAATATGTGTCTGAAAAATTAATTTATTAATTAACTTTCCCGAGCTTTATTGAGGTATAACTGGCAAATATAAATTATTTGTATTCAAGTTGTACAACATGATGTTGTGATGTATGTCATTGTGAAGTGATTTAGTCCTGGCTCCTAGCTATTTGCTATTTCCCTGCTAACTTGTTACTTTCCAAATGGCAATTTCCCTAGTAAGAAACTCTGGAAGAAAAATATTGAATGGTAAAGAGTACATTTAGTTAGGTGCTCAGGAATTGAATCAAATTTTTTTTTTTTTTTCAAACATGTAATCGGTATATTCTTCAATGAACTTCTTTACTTTCTTGTTGTTCAGACAATTCTAGTATGGGCTCCGTTCATGTCCTAGTGGAAAATGTTGGTATAATAAGGTTGGAAATGTCATTTTGAAACACTTACTGTTGTTTTTTCCTGCTATTCTCTTCCTTGGTTTTCTCTTCCTAGCCAAATCCTGCTTATCCTGCACTCAGTAAGTAGCAAGCTTTCTGAGTACAAGACCTTGTCTTGGAGGTGATATTGAAGAGTGTTATACAGTTAGTCTTTGGCTTAATGTTTTTCAAGCTCAAATCCAGGCTGTTGCTTTCTAATTTTGTGACCCTGGAAAAGTCTGTTTTCTTATCTGCTAAAGATACATAATAATAATAATACATACTTCCTAGGATTGTTAGAAGAATTAAACGATAATAACTTGCTAATGTATTATTATACTCAGTGTTGAGTATATACTGAGTATTAAAAAATAGGTAACTATTATTATTTTCCATCTTTGTACTTCTAATACCTAAGCACAGAAGCTAGCATATAGCAAACATATAAAAATGTTAATTAAATGAATCCAGGGGCCATGTTATGGACTGGATCTTTGACAAACTTTAGTAGGCTTATCCCTCTCATCAATTTCCTTAAAGAGGAATTGAGAATTGTACCTGTTGTTTCCCTCTAACATTTGTTGTACCTTGCCTAACCAAACCCACTTCCTACCCTACAGTTATTTGGCAGATTTTTCAAATATATAGGTTCTTTCAGCATAAATTATTGTTAATAAGAAAATGTGTTTTTTTGAGACAACCTCTGCTTTCTGCTTAGATTTTGAATTGCCAAATTCTAATTTATAGAATTTGATGTGACACTCCTCCTAAAAGCTGGTCTTTTCTCCTCAGGCCAAATTACCCACTGTTAGTCTCTCTCCAGAGCACCTATCTTTTAGTCTGGAATGTTCCATTATCTTGTTTCCCTTGTTGATGGAAACATGTCATTTTTCAATATTGCCTTTAAACTGAGAAATTCAAGGGTACACACGGGTTTTAGGAACCAGGAGAATACGTGCCACGTGCTGCCTTCTTCTGAGTTTGTTGCTGCTGAAGGTGAAGCCCAGCATGTTTTCTTTTTGCTGATTACAAATACCCAGTCACCCAAACTTCAAACCAGATATTGTTTGGGAATAAGGGAAGTGACTGGGGAGCCTTTCACAAGTAATGAACTTACCATATCACAGACCTATGCTGTTCACCCAGATAAAGACACTGCATTTTTCAAGTTATCAGTTTTAGTATTGTGCTTGAATAAAACAGAGACATTGATATGTATCTAATCTTGTTTGGATAAAGTTTGACTTTGCTATCTAAGATGTTCATCTAAAAAATACAAAAAGAACAGGAAACTTAAATGAATCAATAGTGAATACTTTGTAATACAAATCCCATTATTTTTTAAAACCTCCTTCTGTTTATCAGTCAATGTTGGGTCAATATTATGCATAGAATTCTTTTTCTTTATATTCATAGCCCATGTGGAAAGATAGCTTCTCTTTTCAGTTGAATGATACAAGGGAGTTGCATCAAACATCAGAATAATTATATTGGAGAATCAAGTTTTTAAGATGTGAACAGTGACATCAGGTAAACAAGAAAACACTCACCCCGATCTTTCCAGAATCACAACTCAGAATATTGAACGCATCTATCAAAATAAATTCATCAGAAGCTCTCTTAACTGATCTGTGCTTATCCTACTTAGCACATCAACTCAATCCTTTCTCTCTAAAACATAGATGACCATGTGCTGCCCACTACTAGGTTCTGGGCCATTACCTGGTCCTCTCTCACACCTCTCCTCTCAGAAATTGAGTGGCGTGCTTACCAAGACGCAGTTGTGCTTAGTTCCAAACCTTTCTATGTCATTGTATTCATTATACTATATTCTGTAATTTAAGATAATGATTTTTTCGGAAAGGGAATATAATTTCTTTAAAAAATAAGTTGAATGATTTAAAAATCATTGATAAAGATGATTTGATAAAAATAAAATTGCTTTTGAATTAGAGGTAAGACCACTTTAGAGGATTAGAAAAAAAAATTGGAAGGATGCTTGCTTTACTTCCTTTGCAAGTATCTTCAATCTCTTGCTTTACTTTAAGCCAAAATTGTAAATATTACATGATGTGTTATGGTTATGTTTTGTTGTAGAAAGAAGATAGAGTACTCTACCTGTACATCTACTGTGTATCTATCTATTCAAAGGAACACCTTGAATCTGCATAGAAAGATTGGAGAGTGAAAGTACACCTATACATTTTAAGTTAAAATATCAAGGTGTATATGTGTATTTTGGAGGGTCTGCTTTATTATTTTCAAATAATTGACTGTCTGAAGGTATCAACTAAGCCAGACAAGAGGGCTTTTGCTCTGATCACAAACCTCATGAAACTGAAGGTTGAACGTGATGAAAAGAGAGGTAAGTTGTTGAGGACCAAGTGACTTCTCTTCCCAAGGTCTCGGTTTCCTTTTCTCTGAAATGAAAGGGTTGGACGTAATCAACCTGAAAGTTCTTTCTAATTCTAATATTTTGTATTTCTTGATACCAATTTGGCCAAAGTAAAGACTTTTCCTATTATGTTACCTGTTAGATGACTTTTCAGTCCGCTGTACTTCTCTCAGGTATACTTTTGTGAACATTGTATTGGCCCTGGAATATTTATTTGAGTTCATCCTGGTCTCTTGTTAATCATTCAAGAGACACTTGTCTGGAAGAGAGACCCAGGTTGAGTTGCGTTTGGTTTAGATCTATATAAGAGCATGTTACTCCCTTGCTTAAGGTCTTTCAAGAGCTCAGCCTTCGGTACAGGGCATCATGCACCTTCCTTAGTATGCATCTAAGTTTTTGCATAATCCAGCGTCTACAGAGTATTTCAGCCTGACTGTATAAACTTCTATTACTGAACTGACTTGATTATCCTTATTCCAAGGTGTTGTTTATACTTCTGAGACTTCATGCATGCTGCTTGCTCTGTCTAGAATGTTGTTCTTCATCTGTTTTTTGCTGGTTAACACACACACACACACACACATACACACATATATATACACACACACATATATATATGTATATATTTTTGGAGATGGAGTCTCGCTCTATCACTCAGACTGGAGTGCAGTGATGTGATGTCGGCTCACTGCAAGCTCCACCTCCTGGGTTCATGCCATTCTCCTGCCTCAGCCTCCTGAGTAGCTGGGACTACAGGTGCCTGCCACCGTGCCTGGCTAATTTTTTCTATTTTTAGTAGAGACGGGGTTTCACTGTGTTAGCCAGGATGGTCTCGATCTTCTGACCTCGTGATCGGCTCACCTCGGCCTCCCAAAGTGCTGGGATTACAGGCATGAGCCACCATGCCTGACCAACTTCTATATGTTTTTTAAAGAGTTAGTTTTGTTGCTCCTTTCTTTAGGGAGCTTTACCTGATTACCCCAGGCCAACCCAGTTACTTCTATGACTTTCTTAGAAATCTAAGTTTGCTACCAACATTTTAATATCCCACAATATATCTCTTCCACTAACCTGTAACCTCCTAGAAGAAAAAGGCTGAATCTGTGTTTGTTCCAGAACCTGTACATTTTGCAGCATGGGGAAGTAGTTCAAAATGTTTGGTCAAATGCACTGTTGTAAACTTGGGGGTTTTCAACTGGATTTGAAAAAAGTATCTAGACTGCCTGGCTTAAAACTTCCATTTTATACATGAAGAAACTGAGTCCCAGATGATTTTATGACTTTGCCCAGTATCTATTACTAACCCTGGAAACTATAATTCACCCCACTGTATCTTGTCCTAAGCTTCCCTCCCTGGGATACCCAAATTCAAGAGCATCTGACTCACAAATTCATAGGAGAATATAGCTATTGAAAAAGAGATAAAAATTAACATAATGAAAATGCATACTGGAATGTTTCCACCCCAGCTCAGATTCCAAAAATGAACATAGGCTAAGGCCTAGTGAATAAGCCTTTCCCTGACTTATCAAGTAAGCATCCTTCTGTCTATACCCCACAATAGCCGTCACAGGTCTTAACTGAGGCTATGTCTTGATGTTTCTCTTTAAAGTCTCATCCAGTGCTCATCTTCTCTTGTTATGGGGGCTTCAATCCTTGTGATATGTAGCCAATTAGCACTTAAATGTTTTGATCTGGATAAAAATTCTGCTGATATTAACTACTAGGTAACCTTGAGGTTACTTCAAGTTGAAAGATTCTAACTCTGACTATCCAACTACACCCCAATCCTAAATGGAAAGTTGTAAAATGTTTTAGTAGAAGAGAATGAAAGATGTTATTGAGTACAGAATTAATCATTAAAAAGGGACTGCTCAAAAGGAAATTAAAGGGCGAAAATGATGAGTAAGGCAAGTTAAAAAAAAACCCAATCCTTAAAGGTGTATGTTGTTTAAGCTTGATATTCAGAAAAGTTAGAGATAATTTATTTTTCCAAACTGAGACATTTTTGAGAATGGAAAAGAGGACTACTAACAAAAGCACAAGCACAAACCAGGACTGCCTTTGCAAAATCAGGACATATGGTTACCCAAAAAAAGCTCACCTCTGTCCAGTGTAGTTTCATTGCTTCAAGAATGTTCTCCTAGATAAGCCATGTGCCCAACAGTTGAGCTGAGAGTGTCAGACATGCTTCTGATCTGGTTTTCTATCTCTTCCCATTCCATTCTGGTCCTGATGCTTCATTTCACCAAATTCCACTCTCACAGCTTCCCATTTGCCTAGCCTTTCCCATTGGAAAGACATATTTGACTTTCTTAAATCTCTACTTTTTGGCTGCATGTGACTTAACTCTTCCATTTGTTATATGATTTGTGACTCCAGTGATTTTCACACTATTTTTGGTGGCATTCTAGGTTTCAAAGGTTCAACAAATGTTTGATTTTCCTTTAAGTTTTTAAAGATATATTGTTTACCCATAATTATTTTGGCTGACACAGGGGATGAGAAAAACTGTGTGGGAAGATAGCTTGCTCCCATCTTCCATTAGAGCAGCTCTCCCTTCTTCCTCTGGCAGTGATTCATATCAGGCCATTGTGGGCACCCATTTCCAATGCTGCCAGCCTGTGCCCAAGCCCCTGGGTGTCAGGAGGCAAGGAACCCAGCCTTGGGCCTATGCTGCAACTGCACTGTGATGAGTGTCCATCATGCCCAGAGCCTTACTCAATGCTTTAGGGAGGATAACCCTGCTTTTACCTGTTTTAAGTATTTTGTTCGAAAAGACTTTAACCATTAAATTTGCTTAAAAACCATGACTCTAGCTTTTCCCATAGTAACTGACTTCCCTTTGTTTTAGCTCCCAGGTTACTGTGTCTATACCTGTGGTGGGCAGCTTCTGAAATAGCTTCCAATGATCCCTGCTTCTGATATTTACAATCTTGTGTATTCCCTCTTTGTGAGTGTGGGATGGACCTAGTTGTTTGATTTTAACAGATAGAATACTATAGCAAAGGTGATAGGGTGTTACTTCCAAGATTAAGGTGCAAAAGCTTGAGTTACTTGAGTCTTGCTAGCACTCTCTTTTCTTCTCCCTTGCTCTGATGAAGCCAGTTCCTATATTGTGAGCTACCCTACAAAGGAAACCTCATGGAAAGGAAGAAAGAGAAGCCTCAGACCAACAACTCATGAGGAATTGAGACCCTCAGTCCAACAGCTCTTGAAGAACTGAATCCTGCCAACAAGCTGAGTGAGCTCAGAAGTGAACCTATCCCCAGGTAAGCCTTAAGATGACTTCAGCCTTGTAAGAAGCCCAGAACCAGAGGATCCACCTATGCTGTTCCCCCAGTCTTGACCCAAAGTGACTACGAGACAATAAATGTTTTAAGCCACTAAATTTTGGAGAAATTTGTGATACAGCAACAGATAACTGACACAGTGTCTCATTTGAAAGGTCAATTTCAACCTCAGCCTTACCCCATTTTCCTTTGGCCTCAGGGGAATGAACAAGTCACAAACATCACACAGACTTCAGAGAACTAAGACTATAACTTGTTCTTTTAAATCCTAGATCCAGGCCTGGTTATGTATCCTGTGATTTACATGCAGAACTGCAGTAGTTCCATCAAACCCTTGTTCAAGCATTCAAATGAATTCAAAACTACTGCTTGGGAAGATGACAACGACAAGAAGAAGAACAGCAACAACACTTTCTCCTTTTGCAGTGTACTGCCTGTATACGAGTCAGACAACAACTTACCATTTTTAATTTCCTTAGTAAAATACTAGTGATGGTGTCTTCATTTAAGAACTTAAGCATCTCCTTGCAATCAGCAGCACAGGGCACTTGCATGGAAGGACTCCAGTCTGAATTTGACTGTTATACATCGTTCATTAAAAGTCCTGCTGAGAAAATTGGTATGTCAGTATCAGAGAAGTTGAACCCTTTATTTTTATCAGATTTTTAAGGCTTTATCATGACATTGAAGCACACCATGAGCTAGCCACCTACTGGAATTTATTACTCTGATTCTCTATATAAGTGCCTTGAGAAAACTGCAATTTAAATTTACTCCTTAAACTTTGAAATAATGCCCATAAATAGAGCTATAGTGATAAGCTTTTGTAGAATCATTTTCAAAGACACCATCAGTTTGTTGTTCACTATACATACATTATGATAAATTTTTTTTTCAGTTCAACACTATGAAATAGGCATATTTCTCTGGTAAACCGGTACATGTTCTTTTACTGAACAATAAGAATGATGTAACATACTAACTTTCTCATTTTGCTTTGGCTGCCGGGAAATATGTTTATTTTCTGAGCAGTTATAGTAGCTACTCTCAGCCTAAGTTTGTTACTATATCTCTTTTTGGCTCCATATTTTAGTACTTGTTTAATTAATTTTCTTTTTATTTATTTGGCTTTTATATTGTTTTGGTGCCTTTATAGTTCAAACTATCACATTTTAGGGAGTTAGGTGGTGAAATGCTGCCCCTTTAACATTTGAAAAAAGATCTCACTAAGTTAAACAAGAAATCTTTCTTCTTTTTTTTTTTACTTTAATAGTAAAACTCTTTTCACAGAGGATTGAAAACATTTCTTTTAGAATTTTATAACTTAATAGGTAGATACATCTTATTTTAAAATCCACATTATTAAGTAAAATCTCACAGTGGAAGGCATGAGATCCTGGCTTTGCCAAGCAAAACTGAACCTGGAAGTAAGCCAAGTGAGGCTGCAGCAGGAGGGGATCAACCTTCTGCACAGAGCAGCGGTGGGAGTGGCCATCTTTGGAGGAAAACATGATGGAGCCTGCTGTGTCCAGTTCTGATTCTGAGGTCAGTATTGTTCTTGCTTGGGTAACTCCTTAGTTTGTACCTCTGGCCCTCTCAGTGATTCTATGAGTCACCTAGTATCCTGTAACAAAAGCTTTTTGTCTGCTTGGATTTTATTGTATGCAACTAAGAAACCTGAGAAACACAGGCTTACAAACACACGTAACTTCAGGGGCTAGTCAAATAACAAAAAAGACTGATGTGGGTCAGTATAAGAGCCAGGGAACAGTGAGTCAGAGGGGAGGAGGGATGTATATGCCCCTCTAATGGTATTCAAATTCAACTTTTCTAAAACATTCTTTTCATCACAACTAACTTGGTAACATCTGCGCTCTAAATTTAGCTTATGGGGCTCCCAGTTTGTGACATTTGACACTGACATTTATTTAATAGAGTTTTTTTTTTAAATTTGAATTTAGGGAATTTCTTGCTTGCCTTTTTTAAAAATGAAGTTGGCATTTTCCACCTAAATATTTTGCCATTTTAGCAACATGGTTGTGACTCTGTGGATGCCCTGGGGTTCCTAAGAAATTCTCTTGTACTGATTTACCTTATGGTGAGGGCAATCATGATCCCAAGTAAAGAGAAAGGAATAATCCTGGATTATGGATGCTGGATGCTGCTGGCTGATAGCAGCAACACTCTTTTTCAGCAAATCCTCATTCCTTTATCACAGAGAATAGACTCCCAGGAAAACCCTGTGTTCTAAGTATCTTTTAATGTCCCAAACAGTTCCTGACTTGTAACAGCTTTTAAAGCAGCCACAAAACCGGAAGCCCAGCTAACATTTTTCAGTCCTGGGATATAGTAGAAATGAAAGTTCTGTGGCAAGTAATGTGTCTGAAAATTGCATTGGAAGAGTGATCATTAGGAGGACTGTTGGCCCGTTTCCAGAGTGGCAGGTGTCTGGGATAATGTTCAGGGGAAACTCACCTATTTCATCCTTCCCCTCAAGAGCTGGTTAGCTTTAGTCCTTGAAGCAGTGAGATTCAGCACCTAATTCTCTATGTTTCATGCAGAGAGATGCAGTGCTTTAAGCCAACATTTCATTTGTGGTTTTAAAACTGTATTTGGATTGCATTCTGTTTTGTGATTCATGTATATGTTGCCTCATTCCTTTTCATTGGAACACCACATCTACAGGCCTCATTATCTCTAATAGACCTTTTAGCTCTCTCAGGGTTATGTGGTTTCAAAGTATTACAAACTCATTCATGTCATTCTAATTTAAACACGATGTTGTTATTCCTGTATCTATTTTATGAACTACCCTTCTGATTCCTTTTCTACTTACTGGGTGTTACGGGAAGTGGAAGATAGCATTCCAATCAACTGTGGAGCTAAAACGTCTGGGTAATTGCATTTGACAAATGTTGAAACCCTATCCCCCAAATACTTGCAACACTTTCCTTCCTGACACCAGCAATAATGAAAATGTCATGGTGCTAATGAAGGATTTCTACTGCGGTCCCTTAAACATGGCCCAAATAATCATTGTCAGGCATACACCATTCAGATTTCTTGGTATAGTCTTACCCATCAACTGAAGTTAGGCCTCCATTTATTTCAGGATGACAAAGATATATTTTTTTCTAGACACTTATCCTGGAAGCTTTGACAAAAGGCAAAAAAAAAAAAAAAAAAAAAAGGTTGACTGTGAAAATAAAATGATAATGGTTGTGTGTATAAGAAAGTCACCTTAATCTTACGTGTTTGCTTCTTAAAGCTCCCATAAACACAAGAAGAGAATGACCATTTAGGTTATTGTTTTTCAACAGAGAAAGTGTTGCACCAGAATTGTAGATTAGCAGAGTTGGGAGAAAGGTTTAGAAACGATCTTGTCCCATGCCCTTTATTTGCAGGCAAGGCAATGTGGTTTAGAAAGTGGTAGTGAATTGCCTCAGGATATGAGGGTGAGTAAAGAGGAAGTTGATGGACAAGCAGATTCTCCATTAGAATATAGCTTCTATCTTTCTGGAAGGGAGTGACAAACAGGTGAGATTAAGTGACCTTAGTGGAAAATATGAATCCCAGTGGCAGAATATTGTTTGAAATACATCTTGATTTATTTTCCTTCCTCCTTTCTTCTCTTCCTACCTCTTTTCCTTCTTTCCTTACCTTCTTTTGTTACTCTTGTATTTACCCCTTGAGCTCTTCTTCTATTAATTCTACCTTGTAATTTTAAACCGGAAGTAATTTTTGTCCTGCAGGGCACATTTAGTGATATCTGGAGACATTTTCAGTTGTATCTAGTGGATAGAGACCAGGGATGCTGCCAAATATACTACAAGCATAGGATATCCCTGCCTATGCCCACAACAAAGGATTTTCTGGTCCAAAATGTCAATAGTGCTAAGTGTGAAAAATCCTGTCTGGGCTGATTCTTTCCAGCAAAGAGAAAGAGAGAAGAGACCAGAGAATATTTGGAAGAGAAAAGAAGATATGATAAGTTACCTCTCAATTATAGAGAAGGACAATGGGAAACTACTTTAGTACTGAGAGGAGAAATCTGGGGAAAGAGTCTGAGAAGGGTGAGAGGTGAGAGTTGACATTACCCTGTGAGACTTCTACCTCCATTGGGCCATACCTGGGAAGGAACAGGAATGCAACAGATAGCAAACTACCCACATCAGTTTGGAGTTTGGTAAAATCCTAGAGCTGGATCTGCATGTTTTGACCTCTTGGCCTTTGGCCTAGTTTAGAAGATTTCATGCTCCTCAGAGAGAATCCAAATTCAGCTGGTGTCTTAGGTACTATGGACCCAAACCCAAGTTGTTAGTAGAAGTGGTGGAGGAAGATGCTCAGGCCAGGAAGACTGAGATAGCGCCCTTGGCTCTCCAGAGTCCACACTAGCATGGAGGAGGCCAGGAGATTACTGTGTGCCACAGAGGGCTGCTGTAGGTACTGGTTGAAGAGTTCCTCAGGGGTGTCTCTGAGTCAAGGAGTGAAAAGACTCTGAAGTGGAGAGCTGCAGGGCAGACCACCCTTGCTGAGTGCTCAGATCCAGACACCAGCCATCCCTGTAGGCAGACCAATGGACCTTGACTACATAGGAGTGACACCAGCTCACACATTCTGCAGCAGCTGTTATGAGCCCTGAAGCCCATTACAAGAAGTAGAGCACCACAACCGCCTACACCATCTCACCCCACCCCATGACATAACACAAGCATCACCTTCTATCCAATGTCTGGAGAAGAGAAAGAGAACTGAAGGAGAAAGGAATCCAGAAAGGCCAATTACCTGAAAGAGATTATGTATTAAACTAGAAGAGACCAGAAGCTTGTAATTGGCAAGTACATTTTACTGTCAGCAGTAATGAATGCTGAAGGGAAAATGAGAAATACAGTTAACTTCCTCCCATTTACATTTAACCTCACTACATTCTTATTCTGTGTCCATACGACCCCAGTATCTAGTACTAGTTTCTTTTTTGACACCCTTGTCCACATTCATCATCTCTTCAGCCACATTCTCTCTATGATGGAGCATCTCACCTTTGAACAAACACCAGTTGCCACGTTGGCTGCTTACCTGCCTTTGCTCTGTTTTTTCTTCTTCCATGTCTGTGGATATCCTCAGTGACAAAGGAGCTGTCTGTGTATTAAGATCACCTTGTCTTAATGGAGAAATTTATCAGTGTCTTGTATGTCCATGAGACCCAGGTCCTCTCTGACAAAGTATATGTCACTGCATAGTAGATCCAGCTACATTCCTGAATACACCAGGGCCCCAGAAGGAAACATATGACACTCTTAAATGGGGAATTTGTGGCATGCTTAATAAAGGGCCTATTTGAAAAACTGTGGACAGGGTTAAGGGACATGAACAATAAATGAAGAAGTGTCTCAAAACCAGTAATGGTAGTCTGAAGGGGAAAGAGGAAGTGGTGTTATTGGAACCCAGAGACATCTTTAGCTGTAGAAATAACCTTTGGTAGAGGAAAAGAGTCACTGCCAATCTGTGGCCCAGCAGGGAAAAATAATCAGTCAGGAAATATCTCGATATCAGTCTCTTTATACCCTTTGATCTCTGGCTGGTAACTCTTTTTGGTCAACTGAACTGGAAACTAGGAGACAAGCGAGCTCTGTGGATGGAATTCATAGAAATCAGCATCTGGGATGCAGGAGAAGGCTGCAGAGGGTGTCTTTAGGGACGAAATGAGAATATCCAAAACAACAATGTTTTTAGATGTTCTTTGGGTCTGCTAACTTAGAGTTTGGGCTCTGCCATGCACTCGAGCTTGAACAGCTTTTAATTTTTCTGTAAATTAGTTTCCTCTTCTGAATTATGGCAATATAAAAAACAGTACCTACCTCATTTAGTTGCTTTGGGGATTATGGGTAATAATACATGTAGCACACTCGTAGCAGTACCAGGCACACAGTAAGTGCTCAGAAAATGTTAGTGGCTTTGATTTTCCTGGTTCTTTGGTCTTCAGCAGGACAGGTAGCAGGGGTTCTGATTTCAGGATGCTGTGCAGTCATTTGCGCCTCATGTGCAGGATGATGCCCTGCCAGGGAAATCCTGAATTTGAAGTGGAGAATTAGGCAAACTCTACCCTATAGCACTGCTGATTTTACACTTAGTTTATTTTGCTTAGATTATGAGTCTGCTTCTTCCTCCTTTAGAGGATGATTTTGAGAAACTGTTCTCCAGGAAAAAAGAATTA